AAAAAGAAAGGTCAAAAAAATTGAGGAAAAAGAATATATAAAATGTATTTAGTGCTTCAAATTGAATGTGCGCACATAAAAACAGCATAAATATAAAGTAAATATTATTTATAGTGAAATAAAAACATAAAACGGAAAAATATTTTAAAATATATTTTATTCTAAAATGTATAACTATATATATTACATATACATATATATATTAAAATATTAAATATATTTTTATTTTAATATAAAAATGTGTATATTTGTGTGTGTGTACGTACATAACTAGTAAAAAAAGAAAACAATTAGGTTAACAGGTCTTTTTTTTTTTCCTTTCCAAAAAAAATCATAAAAATAAAAGTTAATATTTTCCAGATAGCATTTTAACAATTTGCAAATATGTGACCCTGGAGCACAAAAGCAGTCTTAAGTTGCTGGGGTATATTTGTAGCAATAGCCAACAATACATCGTATGGGTCAAAATTATACATTTTTCTTTTATGCCAAAAATCATTAGGATATTAAGTAAAGATCATGTTCCATGAAGATATTTAGTAAATTTCCTACCATAAATATATCAAAATAACGATTATATTCATTTAAAACAACAATATAAAATATAAAATAATGCAGACGCCTTTACATTTTAGAAAGGGGGTCGTTATGTTTGAGAGTCCTTGGCATCAAAATGCCAAGTAACTACCGTCACACGGGTTATTCCTGTAGAGAAACAGCTGATCATAGCTCACCTCGTGCGTACAGGTACAGGTATACGGTTATGGACTCGGCTTCAGCGCCGGTGCTGTACCATCCGCCGCGCGGATCCTGCGCCCAAACCTCGGCTCGACACTGATAGTGTCCCTGATCCTCCTCAGCGGCCGAGAAGATCCTCAGCCTGAAGCAGCCAGCAGACACACGGTCCACGCTTACGTCGCTGCCATTGCTGTAGATGCGTGTCAGGCCGTCGTAGCTCAGAGTCGCCAGGAGCCGGCCTTTGCTGTCCTCAGAAAGCGTGGCGTCTTTCCTCGCCGGCTCCTCGGGTTTCTGAAGCCACTGCACCTCGACTCGTGAAGCACCGGTGGCTTCCACAGAGACGTTGCAGAGCAGCGTGACGGTGCTGCCACGCTTCAGGAGCGGCCGGCGTGGCAAATCAATGCTAGCAGATACACGCACCTCTGAACGGACACATAAACACAAACAAATGCTACGTTTATAAACTCTCAACACAGCATAAGGGTTAATCTAATCCAGGGGTCTCCAACCTTCAATTTCATTTGGGAGCTACTTTTTAAAAATTAAAGCGGCTGAGAGCTACCAATGTTACACAGCTATCATAGGACAGAACAAGAAAAGCTATAAATAATCTTTCATTGTGCAAAAGTATTTTAATACCAGCTTCCAGAAGAGATCAGATGTGCTAAAACATTAACCACATTCAAATCTAGACTCAAAACTCATCTGTTTAGCTGTGCATTTGGTGAATGAGCACTGTGCTACGTCCAAACTGATGGCACTGTATTTTATGTATAATCATTTTCTACTCTTAACTGTTTTAATAAATTTTAAATCAATTTTTAAGTCATTTAAGCCTTGTTTTTATTGTTGTGATTATTTTTTATGATTATTTTACTTCCTTCTATGTAAAGAGATGCATAGAGACGTTCAAATCACAAAGGAAAGAGATATTGATGCGTAGTTTATTAAATCTGCGCGATAGTTTATTGAGCCTTTTCTTTTAACAGTTTCAAATCTCAGTTACTGTGCGCTCTTGGAGAGAGTATCATCGTCTTGACTGTCGTAACCGAATGCGACGCGCAGTTTGAATGCTGAACGGAGGATGACAGACAGCCGCAGCGGAGAGAAGAGTTTACGTGAACTTGAATTCAACAACTTAAATATTCATCTGTACCTCACATTAAACTATGGAATGGCTTCAGAACACTTGGATTTTGACTTTATGGTGCTTTGTAATGTTTTTGTGCTTTCGTGAGGCTTAACAATAACACAGAATAGTATACGCACAATATCGGATTTGGATCGGTCTCGTCTGAGTATCAGAGCCGGTACCGATACTGAATATCGGATCGATGCATCCCTACTTATGATTTGAAAAAAAAGCACTGGGTGGATTTTTAGCATTATAGGGTGGTTGTGTACACACACTGCCAACACACATTTATGTTCAAACACCATGTAAAAGTGAATTTTGCATCTTATCTCCCCTTTAATATATCGGCCAGCACTAACTGTGACACAATTTTTTTGATTAGAAATGCACTCATAAACTTAAAACGTGCATAAACACTTCCTCACGCACCTTCAGTCTTCAGGCTAACAGTGACCCACTCTGATCTCTGTGTGATCGTGGCGGGACTCTCCGGTGCTGGTGTTTTCCTCCCGGCGTAGACGCTCACGGCGCAGCGGTAGAGTCCGGCGTCAGCGGGGCGAACGGAGAACAGGCGCAGAGAGAAGCTCCCGTCGGCCTCCTTCTCCATGCTGCCTCCTCCTGCCCTGCTGAGATCATCACCCCAGGCCACCACGCCGTCAGGATCCACACGCGCCACCTCCACCTCCACACCACCCTCCGGCCCGCGCCGCATCCACTGCACCTGCAGCGCCGAGCGCTTCCACGCACCTACACCCAACACCTGACAGCGGAGGCGGAGCGGAGCACCGGGCCGCAGAGCGACACCACCGTCCGGGACAGAGCGCACACTCAGTGTGTCCGCTGGGGAGAGACCGCAATAACAGACTGGTTATTATATTCATAATGACAAGAGCAGCACTCTAACACTGTCTGAGCTTTAAAGGGGTCATATGATGCTGCTAAAAAGAACATTATTTTGTGTATTTGGTGTAATGAAATGAGTTTATGCGGTTTAAGGTTCAAAAAACACATTATTTTCCACATACTGTACATTATTGTTTCTCCTCTATGCCCCGCCTTTCTGAAACGCGTCGATTTTTACAAAGCTCATCGATCTGAAAAAGCGAGGTGTGCTCTGATTGGCCAGCTATCCAGTGCGTTGTGATTGGCCGAATTCCTCAAGCATGTGACGGAAATGTTACGTCCCTTACCATATTGTGATGCCTGCGGCAACCACATGTGACGACCC